AGAGTCAGCCCCGAGTCGGAGTCGATTGTCGTCTTCGTCATTGTCTGGCAAGCTCTCATAATTAAACATAATTTGCCAACAATGCCATACCGCACAGTGGTTGCAATATTGTGAAAAAGAGCACGACATTTCCCAAAAAGAAGGCAAATTATAACATTTAATTGTATTTATATACTAAGTTGGTGAAAATATGTAAAAAGTAATTGATTAGTTGAATTTACATAAATATTAAATACGTTAAAGCAAGGAATGTATATTTAGGTACAAATAACGTTTGTTTATTTTGGAAGCTTTATTGTTTTAGCTAACAAAGAGTAGATATTTTATACCTATTTTGTAACTTTGTACTTATATGCAACGTTTTTTTCCCTCGCTCAATCTTAAGATGGTACGCGTAGATTTTAATTTGCCGCAGGATAAAGTGATGTTTATAATTTTATATACTTATTTTACCGCTTCCGTCTTTAGCAGTTCAAAAATACGTAAAGTACATTTAGCAAAGATTTATTTTTACTCGGTAACAAACATGTTTGGCCAACTGTCAATATATTTGAGGGATGCCGGTTCCCATTCTCGTCTGACAGCTTCAGGCGCTGCTACGTGCAAAAATCAATAAAAACGTTGCCAAAATGGCTTTCGCGCCTTCACAGTTTATCCGCTTTGCCTGTGCCAGGGGCCGCGTCTTGGCTGGCTTGGTCGGCACTTAACTTTCACATTAACTGCACACAGACTCTGGCACAATTTGGAGCAGAGAAGCAATTAACGCTGAATTGATACGCACTGTGCTGGAGCATTGAACTTCACTTCGTTAACTCGCTTTCTTGGTGGAGAGGGCGGAGCGAGGCGAGGCGAGCTACGCGAGAAGATTCGGAGTACGCTTATGCACTGACATTAAGACGTAATTAAAACAACGCCAAACGAGTGAAGCGCCCCAAACCCTTTCTTTTTAGCACAAGAAGGGTCCAGGGGATCGGAAAGAAACGAGTCAAAAGATTATTTGTATTTAATTTCAAGAGCTGGGTGCCAGGATGCTCCCGCTGCAGAAGGCAAGCCAGAAACGAAAGACAGTTTCATGTACTTTCTTTCTGTGCGCTGTACATGGAACTCAATTATAATTAAGCATTTAAGTGGAACTAAGCGGCGCTATGGCAAATGAAGCGCACGTCCAGCCCTTCGGCTTTATACAGCACCAGCTGGAACTCGATCCCAAACCTAGTAACGGTGACGACAGCGACGACAATGGAGCCATGAATCGGACTGTTCGGGAGGTGGACGGTGCTCGTATTTATTAGTGGGGTAGCCTGAACCCTAATTGCTAAGCGCACCATTCAAACTTTTGGCGACGCGATGGACTGGAGCGGGTATTTAATTACCGCGCAGCGTTCAGCGCTCATCGCTCATCGTTGGCAGCGAATTTTTATTGGACTTCCATTAGGCATTCGCTGGGATATATGTACATACATATATCTATTATACAAGTGTTGCCAGGGCGACGGCGGATTAATTGTTACGTTGACTAATTTTACTTACAAGCATGTTAAAGGCTGTTGTATAATGAAATGACAGGAACACAAAAATAATATTAAAAAAAAAAACAAAAGTACCACACCAGACTCAAGTTTGTAACCAGTGAAGTTGACGGCGCAATTTAAAAATGTTAAAACAGGAGACAGAGTGAAGGACGGAAAGGATGCTTGTGCTGCTTGTGGAAACTGTTTGCAACGGCAGCAACAACTTGGCCAGAATGAAAGTATCTCAATTAGTGATGATGATGAGGCTGCTGCCGTCTGCTTGGCTGGTTGCCTGACTGCCTGACTGGCGGCATGTCCTTGCTCGCTTACTATACAACACTTTCAGCAGGTTAGCCAACGAGACACTGCCAAAGCTGCTGGCTAAGAGATCATGACAATTTTTTTTGGCTGCCCGTCTGAGTTAATTTTATAGAATTATCAACGGAAATGGGTCAGATTTTAGCAACATTTTTTTGTTTAGTCAGTCAAGTGTTAAAATACGACAGTTGATGTTGAGTAAAAATTAAAATAACCTTATGTCAAATATATATGACTTTTACCGAGAGTAATGAAAGTAATTTACAAAGTGCTAAAAAAGAAAAATAAGATAAAAATGCAAAGCATGCGGTTTGCGCAGTATGGTTTTAGTACCCTATACTGCCGGCATAAGGTGTATATTGAATATAGTCAAGCAATTAAGCTATTTAATTTGTTTTAAATTGTTTAATTTCACTTTTTATTATAAGTGCTGCAAATTATGCCCTAAAACATATATATTTGATTCCCTACTTACTGCCTACCTACTTACAGGGTATTTCTTGAACATTTAACATTCACTTTGCATATGTAGTTGATTCTGTTTTAATGCCGGCACGGGTTGGAGCGCTCTAACGAAATTCAATTGCGGCAAAGGTCGGTCGAGTCGAGCTTGCCAACTTTGTGCATCCTGTCGAGTAACGAAGTTGAGCCAAAGGCAACTGCCCCAGCCCCTCCGTTCATTTGGGGTCGGCGGCACTTGAAATGATTTCAAAATGGCATTGAATGTAGCATTTAATTTGTGCGCCACCAAGGACGACGACAATGAAGTCATCTTCGTTGTTGTACTGTCTGCCTTTAGCTTTCGTTCAGTATCTGCCTCTGCTTCACATTTATAACTGTTTATTTGCTCTGCGCAGTTCTGTCTGTGGCTGTTGCTGTGTATGTATGTGTGTGTGTGTGTGTGTGCGTCTCTGCTGCGCTGCCTGAAAAGGATTAATTAAACGCTGGATGCCCGTAGATGCTACCCGCATCTGCATTACTCACAACCTTTTTCAGTCTTTTCCCTTTTCTACGTTTCGTTCTCTCTCTCTCTCTCTCTCTCTGACTCTATTTCTTGCGTTTGGTCTCGCATTGCGTCTCGCTTTATACCCAGGCTTTGAAGTTTAAGCACAGCATAATTAGTTTAATGAGCTTTCCTAGTATCACAATAACGATAATCCACCATACCACGCCCAGCATTGGCAGCCCAAATACCACTAAGGGTCTTCCCCAACCTACTATCAAGCTATACTATATTTTCCTTTATTTTCATTATGACAGTAATTCCTTTACATTTATTTCAATTAATATGCAATGATATTTAAGTTTTTGCTCGGGCGCTACGAATTTTTAATTACCCCGGCCAGAGCCAAATGCAATTAATTAAGTGAGCATTAAGGCAGTCGGGAGAACGCCAAGGATATGTGTTTGTGTGCATAAGTTGGCGCTTCCAATTTATTTACAGTTAGTCATTTAGATATGTTTGCTTTTGCACACACTCACAAAAAGCTGCGCTCATTTGCTGGCAATTAAGCGCACATAAAATGTCTAACACTATGTGTGCGTGCCTGTGTATATGTATGTGTGTGTGTTGTGCGCCTTTACGTCATTTGAAATGGCGCCAGCTGCGCGCAGAGTAGGTGGGCGTGGTTGTGTTGGGCGTATTTAGTAGGGCGGCTGTTGCTGTCTGTCTGCCTGTCGGTTTTCTGTATGTGTATTTTAATTAGAAACTTGTACGTTTTGCTTAATTAGACAAATTGTTTTAATATTATGTGCAAACTTTGTTGCACCAAACTGCGACAAATTAGTTTGGCAACACAGCTGTCAGCCCACATCTGGGTCAACATTACTCATATGCCAAGCCAAAACCAATCAAATGTGGCTTAAATTCCAATTGAAAGTGCACCGCGCACAAAATTATGCAACACTTTCGGAGCAACTAAGTCTTTTGGCCCAGGGGAAGTGGGGAACATTATAATGCAAAAAAAAACGTTACGCAGAGTAGGCGAGAATTAAATCACTCCATTTTCTCGTTTCTTTGCACTAGATCTCCCTCATGCCCTTGTTCGTTTAAATTCACTTAAATGTATTTAAATTGCAGTTTAAACAATTTATTTTCAATGGACTGTAAATGCATACTATATACATACACATATGTATGATTGCATTTATTTATTTAGTTGTTGGCACAAAAAATGAAAAAACAGGAAGCCCTTGGCTTTTTTAACCATTTATGTATTACGTGAACATATTATAGAAGGTATTTTTGTGCAGCAATACGAATGTGGGGCTTTTTCGATTGCCCTAGAATTGATCGAATATTCGCTGAATGTGTAAAGCAACAGCAAAATCAAAATAAAAATGCCAAGCTGCAAGTTATGCGATATATTAAATACATGTGAAAGAATCTCTGAATTATACTTAATTGTGACTTAATTCCTTCTGAGCTTATATTAACTGTATTATTATTATTGTTAGTAAAATTATGAATTCCAAATATATTTTCCATCCCGAAGCTGCCAACTACTAGATACTCATTTTGTTCTTCAAAGGATCGTTTGGGAATACAAATAATATAAAAATGCGACTTGCAATTTAACAATGGTTAACAAAAAAATTGCTTATTGTCGAAAAAAAAAAATATATGGATGAATAGAGATAAGATTGTTATATATCCAATACGCTCTGGGAAGAAAAGTATCAAGTAAATGTGCAGTGCTTAGCAGATGAGTTGTGTAAGTAACCCAGTAATGTAGACAGCTGAACGTGGATCCGGGTTCGAATCCCACGCTGGTGTATGGATGAAAATAATCTTAGCCGAAGCCCATAATCTCTAGTGCTATTCAAAAACATAGGTTAGGTTTGTAACTATTCATAACCTATACTTAAAAAAATATAAGAGTAGGAATCTGTATTCTAGTAATACGGCTCAATGCCAACTAGATTTTCTTGTGTGTATGTTATTTAATCGTATTTTTCGTTATTGTATGCTAATAACATTGCACGCGAGCTGTCGTACTTCTCGTTTTAGCAGTTAACCCCAATTAAGATTTATTTGTACTTTATGATCAATATGGGCCGGCCTGCAATAATAATTTTCCTTTGGCCGGGCCTCTGCCGCGTGCTACCCACAATTCATCAAGCGAATTCTTCAAACAAAATTTTTGGCCGTGGCAAAATAAACAAAGCACATTTTGTAATTTGTAAATGCTTTAATGCAATTCCATCAGTCGCAAGTGCACATTTTGCGAGTGTGTTTACAATAATTTGCTACTCAGAATTCGACAGATCAGGCAATTAACGTAAACGGGCAAATGGGAACGAAATAACAGGCCGAAAATCTGAATTCTAGAGAATATTAGCAAAACACTAAAAACTAATTTAAATTAGCCAAAAATAGAAATGGGTGTCTTTAGTCGGCTTCCTTCTTCGCCTCATCCTCGATTTTCATCTTGGCGTAGAGATCGACCAGCTCGTCCTTGCGTCGTGCCAAGCCTAATGCTCGTTGATAACGATCCTCCCAGGATGTAGGGTGTAATTTGGCCAGCTCGATAAGCGATTTTTGTGCAGCAGCTTGCATATCCTTCTCGGGACTCTCATGGTACAGCAGCAAAATGTCCATGGCACGCATGACAAACGCTTCCCACAGCTCGCGCTCGTGTTCCAGCTCCTCTTTCTCTCCTTCGGTCTTGAATACAGGACGTAGCTTGCCTACCGCTGTCGCAGCTATAATGCGAATGCCCGCCGAAGGATCATCCATGCGCTGCATGGTTGCATAGGCCAGCGGCTTGAGCGCCTCCACCGACATTCCCTGGAAGTAGCACATGGCTTTAATGGCATAATGACGCGTGGTCACATTGCGATCCTCTAGAAGGCTCGGCATGTGTTTGGCTAATGCGGGCAGCACCTCGCGCGCCTCGTCCTTAGCGCCCTGTGCCAAGGCACACAACGTGGCCATGGCCATGGAGCGCATGGCCTCGCCGTGGGCGCCAGCTTTCCAGATTAAATGGGGCTCCACAATTTCACTGGCAAAGTTGCTCAACAGCTGTGAACTCTGCTCCCGTTCCACGCGAACTGTTGCTGACCAGGACAGTGCTGCTATCGAGAGGATGCTGAAGATGCGCACCTGGGCCGTGTCGCAGCAATGTTCAAAAACGATTTTTATCTTCTCGATGAGCTGCGGCAGATAGGTGGAACGGATTTGGGCCAGATGGATGAGGCCGTACAGCAGCAGGACAGGTTCTGCATTGTCGTCCAGCGCAGCGTCTAAATTCTCCACATCAAGGAGTACAAGAGCGAACCAACGTTCGTGCAGCTCAGCCAGTGTGGTCTCCTCCAGCTGCACAAGACGTTTTAAAATCACTTGACCCCGCTTGACGTCCTCGGTGTCCTCGTTGTAAAGGGAGTAGGACAATGCCATTACTTTCATTGCTGTAACGTAAACATGCTCATACAGTTCCTTTAGCTCCTCCATTGAGGCCATAACTTTAGTGGACTTGTCCAACACGGTCTCCAGCGTTTTAAGTATGTACAATTGAAAACCCGGCTTTAGAGTATGGGAGTAATCCGAACATTTCAATAGCTTGCATAGACGCTGCAAATGCTCATAGGTACCGCCCAAGGACGCAGTAAACATGTAGTAGAAACATTTGAGAAAAGATTCACGAGCATTTCGTTCCAGACCATCGAAGCCATGATTGATCCATGCAGCGTAGCACAGCAGGCGTCCCATCAGATCTGCCACCTTTTTAGCTTCTGCTGCGACATCGGGCTCACTGTCGCAGCAGGCGTGCGAGACATCCGGATAGATCTCAAAGAACTTGGCAGTCATTGCCGACTCGGCGTGCAGGATGAACTGATAAAGCAGCTTCAGCGAGTGCAGGCGCACGTTGTCCTTCCAGTCGCTGGTCTCACGCGTGATGAGCTGCAGCAGACGCAGTGACCGCTGTACCAAGCCCCGACAGCCAATTGTTGGACGTTGCACACCAGCCGGATAGTTCTCCACGGGCAGATCACATATCTCCTGTTGTGAAAGCTCCGCCTCATTCTCATCGTAGTACTGCCTACCACACTGCTCCCAGAGCGGGCGTATGTGCGACAAGACTTCTGGCGAGTCGTCCTTAAGGCAGCATAGCACCAGCGGTAGAATACGCTCAAAATAAGAGTAGCGATCCGGAAGCTCAAGCAGCATCAAAACGCCCATTTGACCACATTCACGACGCACCAACGGCATCGAGTCCATCAGCAGCGGAGAGACCTCTGCAAGCAGCCTGCGCATGCCCTCCCCGCTGGCGTCCAAGTGTAGACTCACCCGACCGATGGCCTCTACAGCCGAAATGCGGGCCGCCGAATGTCTGTGATTCAGCATTCCGTATAGGGCCACAGCTAGCGACTCTGTGTATGGACGTATTTCCGTGGTGTCGGCCACGCGAGCCAACTGCACCAGGGTGGCACAGCCTTCCCGCTGCACAGCCGCATACGCATCCTTAATAGACTTAATCAACACCTTGACCACCTGTGGATAGCACTCACGAAAGACGCCCACATTGCCCATGAGCGCATATTTGCGCAGCATAAGATGCAGCTGCTCAATGTAGAGCAAACGTATCTCCTCGCTGGGCTCCACCGTCTCCGTCTGACCCATGCGCTCGGCCAGCGTCGACACCACGTTCAGCAGGTGAAAGTCCAGGGGCGGCAGACGCTCCAGAAATGCGGTTACGGCCAAAACGGCGCGATCTCGCACGCTTTCAAACCGATCTCCGTAGCATTTGAGCAGATGCAGATACAGTTCATCAAAATCAGCTGCCACAGCGTCGGTGCTAACGGTTTTTGGCGCCTGCTCGCATAGCTCTCGCAGTTTTAATAGCGTGGCGCCACGCTTGCGATGATCGCTGCTCTCCAGGTCGGCGCAAATCAACTTTGTGTCCAAATCGAAGCTCATTTCGTGTATTTCGAGATTTTTTTCGTACCGTTTCTTGAGTTATTGCCAGCTGGATTTTCACTTGAGTTGTGCGCGCTGTAAAACGAAAACGTAAAACGAGAGACGTCAACAAGCACCGTCAAATGCATCGGTTGCTACGATACACAAATTCGAATTATTCACATTGTTTATTTTGTATAAACGGAGTCGCCACTTGCCACTCTTGGCAACAGCGCGTGCGAAACATTGCCGGCTAATGCCAAAGATCAGCTGTTCGTGCTCAGCTGACAGCTGTGCGTAACAGTGTTGCCGACGGGCGTCGATCAGTGTTGTTAAGCGACAGCTTGGCGCGCTTTTTGAAAGTACGTATGATTGTTGCTGCTGCAGCCATGCTTTATTGTTTGCTCAACTAATTAACAAGTCATAAATGAAATTTCCCTGGAAACTTGGTGCGCAATTTGTGCCGCTGTCTTTTATGAGCGGCCCAGGTGGACTCATTAAAAGCGGTTTCGCTTATCTTCGATGCAGGTATCTAATTGCGGTGTCGTTTCTTATCAGCAACCAGCTAACGAGCGACAATATCTAAGATTGATTGCCAGTGCTAGCTGTTTTGGGGGACGGGTGGGCGTTTGACTTCCTGATAAAAAAATCACATAAAATGCCTATTTTTATCGAGAGAAACTTAATTGCGTTTTTGGGTCACTAAATTGGGTTATAAAAGTGGGCCGGGCAGTCAAATAAGCAGATAACTTGTCAGAATACTTTAAATGTTTTTAATTTATGCCATAAGCCTTGTAATCGCAGCTTAACAATAGCCTCATGTTGTTCAGTTAAGTTAACAAGATGAACTAGTTAAACTCTTGTTTTATGCTATTTTAAGCAAGTGGGTGGCTGAAAAAGATTTATATCTATTTTTGTAAGCCATAAACTTTTAAGTAGCTTAATTTGAAAACAATACATTTGAAAATTGGTTAATATATGCACGAAAAATACGTTATCACAGTAGCTTAAGAGGCATTTACATCAAAGATCCTGTTACTCAGCTAATCGTAAATAGTGTTTATTGCTCTCATTTGTATCTGTGAATATTTTATACCAGCAAAACCCAAAATATTTTTGATGCCATTACGGAATTTTTTAATTTCGCTTTTGCCATTTCATTTGTGTGCCCCATTCGAAGCGAGAGGCAGCTCTATATTGACGCGTTCCACATCCACAGCATATTTTATGTGGTTGTATTTTGTGCTTCGTTTTTGTCGGGGCTGCGTCAAAAATTGTTGTTGTCATTTTTATTGAAAGCCGCCGCTGCACGTAGGAGACCGGCAACATTTATAACTTTTGTGCACACAATTCGATTTCATACCTTTTTGTTGCTCTGCTGCGGCAGCGCCGTCAACGCCGGCGCGCTAGTGGCAGTGGCAGAGACAGCGACAGAGTCGCACGCTCCAAAGCAATTAAGCGCATGAATCAGGTTCAGGTTCGTTCCATGGGCAAAGGCAGGGCAATACAAGAGTGTTTGCCATAGTTTTTGTCTGTGTGTGTGTGTGTGTGTGCTTGGCGTGCTTTTTTTGTGACCATGCCGCTTTAATAAAAAACTCATACAAACACTCGGTCTTGCATTCGCAAACACAAAATACAAATGCATATACATGTATGTGTATACACAGATACAGATACACACCGGCCCAATAAACTTAATTGATATGAAATGAAGTCATTTGGCAAAATCACTGGGAGAGTAATGGACCGCGTTTATTCAATTTGATGTCTGACTGGCAGACAGTATACATATATGTATATGTATGTATATATCAATCGTATTTATGTGCTTATGCATATTTTTATCTCTTTTTGAAAGCAATGGCAATTGTGAGTGCGTGAGTGTGCGTGCGCGTGTGTGTGTGTGATTTTATAGCTAAAATGATTCAATTAAAATAACATTTTAGCAGCGCAGTACGGAAGCCGCATGACTGCATATTGGCCGCAATGGAAACTTGTTTGCTCTTATGATAAATCCAAAATTGGCTGTGTTATTAAAGTACACACATACACACACACACACACACACACACACTCGCAATTAATAATTATACGCACAGCACATTCAGCTGCAACAGCTACAAGATACATCGAATAACGCTACTCAGATACTTGTATTCGTGCTTGTTGGATTGCTTTTTGTCATGCTGCGCTCTAATTTGCTTTTACCGACTCTGAAATGGACTTGTTACAGCTGCCGTTTGTCGTTTGTCGTGTGCAGTTGATGTTGCATTTGCTGTTGCAGTTGCCAATGCCTGGCTAAATGCAAATTTTCCAATTGATTGGAATGGAAATGGGCGTGCTGTAAGCAGCGACGCTGGCAGCGACGTTTGGCACCGTGGCCGCTAATTAGTTTCATTTTTCAACGGGCAACAACTGCGTCGATTGCCCGCTTAAGTGACTGACTTAATGACTGAGTGACTGACGGCACCAATCAACTGACTGACTGTGCCTCTCCGTCTCAGTCGAAGTAATATACTTATTATAAGTATGTTTGTGTGTTGATTGAGTGCTGGCTGCGCAGCCCCTTTGCCTGTGTGTGTTTGTGTGCTGCGATTTCTCGGAATTCCGTTTTGATTAGAAAATCAGCTAATGGGCTGCCCTCATATGCATATGCCGGTTCCGAGCTGCGCACTCTAACTGCCCCTTCAACGCAGCTGACCCCCCACCACCAAGCCCACCAGCTGTTGTTGCTCATGTGGAATGAGCTAAAACCATCAAGTACTTGTCCCATACTCAATCCAGTACTTTGCCTCTTAACGATTATGTAGACGCGTGCTATTATAGCTAGGTATTGTCATATCATTATAAGTAGCTCGTTTCATTGCGTGACTCATCATAGACTACAATCATAAAAATCTGGTGCCTTCAAGCTTCTGCGCCTTTTCTTAATTGCTTTTCAATTCATGTCAGCTGCTCTGAAAATTAAAATTTAATTACTTCCAAAAAAATTGAGCCCGCATCTGCGTAAAATTACTTTATATCAAATAAATATAATGTAACTTACAGTAATTATTCGCCGATAAAACACGCTGATTGTCAGTATGTTTCTGCGAGTAGAAATAGGCGCTTTAAAATATCCATCGAACTTATTGAGACTGAATCGAAAAATGTAAGTCCTCCTAAGGTGGGATTGTTCCCAAAAGTATTTGGACAAGGTAACATTGGGTAACTCGCTTCCAACCAGCACCTAGATCTTCCAGTGAAGCCTATTGGTCCAATGTGGTGCTTATGTAGTTGGTAAATTGGGTGAGGAATTGTTCATAAATAACGGTAGATATTCGAACTAGATTCAAATTAGAGCTAACACGTTCTAGTTGGGCTGACTAAATGGGCCTTTAACGAATAATTTTCCGTTGTCTATTTCAGGAATTTTGTTAGAGACATATCCTACCCCTTAACTGCAAGTTAAAACGCTAGCCGCTAGTCCAACCTTACCTAACTCAATTGTCAAAGTAACTTATTTTAGTTACCCAATAACTAATTAGCAATTAGAAAAATCTGTTGGCAAGCTCCTACTTAACTTGTCTACCACATGTTCTAATCTGGCTAAGCTTTAAGCTCTTCCAGCTCTCTCTTTATTATTGTGAGCTTTTCAATCTAGTTAATTATTAACATATGCGCTCGTTACAGTGCCACCACCCCCCCCCTCCCAGTTAGCATCCGACCTAAAGGAGCTCTGTGCACAATTCTCGGCAATTCGCTCTGTCCTGCAGTTCTTTACTTTTTGTAGTTTCTCCCATTCGCATAATTGCTGCAATGTATTTAGGTTGTTTTTCCTTTTCCCAGTTCGTTTACTTTTTGCTAGTATTTGCCTTACATTTTCTGTCAACGGAGCTTTGTGCTAATTTACTGCCTGTTCTATGGCTACACTTACCGTCCCCCCGTCGCGGCTCAACAAGCTAAGCCCCCCTTCCACTCACCTGCGCCATTCATAGCCAGCAATTTGAAGCATGGCAGCGGTTTTCGTTTTAACTCGCGGCGCGTTTATTAAACATATGCTTTTGATTTGTGATTTGCGCCTATGTTTTATATTTGTTATTTATTATTTGTTTATTTGCACTATTAGCGCGAAGTCGGGTCTAAAATATGGAAACACGAGACGCCAAATGTTTTTGCATTTTGCGTAATCGGCGGCGGTATTTAAATGCCATCAATAGAGTTTGTTTGCACAGTTCGCGGCAATGCAGACTGACCAGTTTGGCAGTCAGTCGGTCCGTCAATCACTCAATCAGTCAATCAGTCAATCAGCAGCCAGTCGTATATCACAAAGCAGTTTCAGTAACAATTTAATTAATTTAAGAGTGTAATGAGAACCAGTTATGCGATAAACATCAGCGCGTCAGACGAGCGCTTGTTTATCAACGTGAATATGAGCTTGAGAATGTGCGAGTATCTATTGCCCGTAGCTGTGAATGAAATTGGAAATGCCTTTTAATTATGCATAATACGTATGGTATTTTCTATTTAAAGCCCCAGCGATAAGGTTGGAATAACACCAAAGCGCTTCGCAAGAATCAGAACCGTTTCGCTAAATAGCCTGGCATGTCTTGATGTAGATACAAAAACAGCTTGAGATAAAGAAATCGAAAGAGCAAAAGACAGAGAGAGAGAGAGAGTGCGAGAGATAGATAGAGGGAGACGAAGAGAGAGATGGGGGAATGAGACTAGTTAGTGTCGGTTATCTCACATGATATGAGCTGTGAGTTGTCGTGGGTAATTTTATTGTATGTGGCCGCCTGGCGTATCTACCAATGTATCTATCAGTCTGTATATGCCGCCGCTTGGCTAAAATTTCTTTGACTTTTATTGAATAGTTTTTTGTCAAGACTAATTAAATGAATTATAGTAGAAGTCTCTCTGCTCAAGGACACCTCATTCTTATGCAGTTGTTTTTAACATTGTTGTTTTGTTTACATTTGCAATAGTTACAGTAGTTTTCCTGCGTTTCTGATTGCTAATTCGCAATTAGCGATTCACGTTTAAAATACCTGTGTGTGGGTGTGTGTGTGTGTTTGCGTGTGTAAATGTGTGATGTGGCTGACGTAAGTTGTGTGAACTGGTAAGGTGGTCAGGTTAACTGCAGCTAATTAGCTAAGATCAACAAGAAGCAGTTGCTTGTATTTCATTAGGTAACATGTCAACTTCGTGGTATAAATTGCAATAGAATTCTGCAAAATTTAACAGTAGAACCGGAAACTCGGCCAAATCTTAAAATTCTCTGCAATTCGACTTGAGTATCTATTAAATAATGCATTTTATACTATCTTTGTACAAACTGACTTTCAGTGCTTTCAAGGCTGCAAGCTGACTTTAATCTATCCGTTTTGAAACCGAAATAACAATGTATTTTTTACGATAGACCGATCTTTAAAACAAATCAGTTGCTCAAAAACAGCCAAGCCAAAACAGGTTAAAAAAAAGGTTTAAGGCAGACCCAGTCCCAAAATATGAATAAATTAGACCCGACCATTGCATTTATCTAACCATATCTGATGTATGCCAATTTCAGTCAGATAGTTGGTTCGACCTGTGAACCGAACCAGCGAACTTGCAGCCCTGGTAATTTCAGAATTAGCATTTTATTTGTTTTATATTAAATTTATAGCATGATAAGAAAACGTTTACTAAGTAAATTGATTTCAAATTAGGTTACTTGATTGCAAATTTGGCATTTTTCTACAGTGTGTTCAAAATCTGATCCCGTGCACGTGTCCAGGTAAAGATGCAATTATTATGTCATGTAACGGAACTGATTAGAAAAGTGTTTCGAATTCTGGGTACTGATAAGGACATGCGCCGTGTTATATTGTTCATGTTGATTTCGTTATCAGGGCGTTGAAAGGCCTAGGCGGATTTGACCTGTCAGTTAACACATTTTTAAAACTGGTCGCAGATTGATAGGCTTCGAAAAAACCCCCCAACTATAAGTATTCTATTTGTAAACACAAAATTGTTTGACTAACTTGACAATGTCACTTACCTCAGCGCCAAACGGTTAATTGTATCCGAAAAGCCAAGGCGAAACTGAAATCCAATTAAATGTTTTTCCTTGTGGGCAGCTTGATTATTTTATTTTTCTTGTCTTTTGTTTTTGCTTTTTTTTTTTCTTTTTAGCTATTAATAGCTTTGTTTTGAAAGGTCACGTTTTGTTGTCGTCGCTGTTTCACATATCCTTTTGATGGACGAGTTTTCACTAAAACCTTTTGCGTCGCTGTTGCTGTTGGCGATAATCCTTAATTAGTCTAACGAGTCGCAAATTAATCCACTTTACTTAATTAAAATGCTATGCCGCCGCAAAAAAAAAACGAGTATAAAAAATACAAATGTCTGATCATTATAATTAAAAACTGTCGAAATGAAATGCGAAAGGCAACAATTGAATAAAGAGAGAGAGAGAGAGAGAGATAGAGAGGGATAGAGCGAGAGAAGGACACTGAAATGTAATTAATTCATTAGCCAGCCAGTTGACAATTATTGATTATGGTTTTGCCTTTTTCAGCGACAGTTTTGTGCTTTTCATTTTTGGAAAATTAATTTGAATGCATTTCATTTGCTTTGCTGCATTAGTTAGACGATTTGTTATTGCCAGCACGTTAACCATTTATTTAATTTTTAATTATATTTGAATGTGTTCTGGTTTCATAATTGCCAGCCCATTGTCTGGCACTGGGTAATGTTTGTGATTCAATTAAATGCATTTCATTATTTGCGCACAATGGGCAACTGAACAATTTGCAACAACGTAGTCTTTCCTATTTGTCTCAGTCTGGTTTTTAATTTTTAATTAAACTGTCAGCTGCATTTAAATTCGGCCACAAATTTAATTTGGCATTCACTTAACATTTATATTATGTATTGTGCGTTATTTATTATATTTTATTTCTGACATTTGCCTAAGCAAACGAATCAAATTGCTTATTGAGTGAAAGACTCGAATGGATCGGAACAGACGCTAGAAATTTTAAGTAAATTCGTTTATGTCGAATTAAATAAATCAATTTTAATGACAATTGAAACCTTGAAATAACTAAATGAATCAAAAAGTATAGAAATTATTGCAAACGGATGAAATAGCTCGCAGTTTACGAGAATTATCTTTTTTCACTCTTAAAGCTCAACTAAAGAATTTAATAGTTTCTGACATATCTATTATAATTAAAATATTGTTGTTTGCTCTTATCTAAATGAATTACTCGAATTATGAACACATTCGCAATTCGCAATTTGCTTCGCGTTTAAACAATAAGAACGAAATTGATTGGAAGAAAGAAAAACGATTTACTTTATTGTTTTTAATAGCCGCTTTTTGGACACTTGACAGCGCGCCGGCAGGGGGAAGTGGGGTGGAGGGGATATGCAGGTCACACAGAAATTGCTGGGCTGTTTAACTGGCTTTCAATGTTTTGCTTGCCAATTTGAAATTAATTGTGTTTATTTAATTGTTTACTTTTGTTAACGTTGTGCACGTTCCGACAATTAAAACTTGAACCTTTGGAATAAAAAGCAATTTCTGCATTTTTACATATTTACATGTTTGTAGGCAAAAAAATAAATAGTTCTTTATTTTTAAGTTGTTATTAACATGCGCACACAGCAATAATAACAACAGCAGAAGCGACGGGTAATTAATATGAAATGAACACACGGCCGGGGCACCGGCAATAAAGCCTACTTCAATTTGCGACACGCATACACCCAACACACACACACGCACACACAGCACACACACACATGCATGTATATAAATGGTTTATATATAACACCTAGGCCAAAACTGAATTTAATTGGGTAATTGAAATATTTTTGTGCAAATTAAAAATTCCATTTTTGCACACGCTCATAACTTATTTATGGCCAGCTTCGGAAAGCAATTGCCGGACCCGAGATGGGACAACAGTGCGGCTGCGTAACCTGTCAGCGCGCCAATTGACAAATTGGTCGACTTTGCCGTTGCCGTTGCCGTTGTCGTTGTCGTTGTCGTTGCCGTAGTCGTTGCCGTCGGAGCGTGCGAAAATACTCAAAAAAGAAAACAAACCAAATGTAGTAAGTGGGCAACACAGTTCAAGCGCACAACAATAGAGCAGCTTCAAGTGCGACTGTGTATCTGTCAGATACACAGACGCCACACGGCAGCAATTAGCGCCGTGAGCACAAGTGCTTATTGTTGTTGCCGCGCGTTGTCGTTGTTATTGTTGATGATGATGATAATTGAGCACAGAAATTGTTGTCGCCGTCTTATAAATTTCATTGCTGATTGCCGGCGGCCAGCGAACGCAGCACAATATCAACAAATTAATGAAAATGCCAAGCAAAAATCACATAAAAACCAGACAGTCCGATATATATATATATTGTATAAATAAAATATGCATACATATAATCCTATATGATATGTATGTATGTAGGCCTGTATGGGCCATATGCATAAGTAAATATGTTATATTGCTAAATGAATGCTGCTTGACGTTGTTCGGCGCGCTAATTCTTTTGGCCAGCAAATGCGACAATAACAAACAGCCGAAATGCTAATTAGTTTCATGTGTGACTAATGGATGGATGAAACGGCACAAACACAAACACATACGCACACACACATACACTAACACACACGTACTCAGATACTTTTACACATGCGTGACTGCCATGGCTCTCTTTGCTCTTGCTGCTGTTGTTGTTGTTCTTGTTGCAACACACTTAATTAAAATAGTACACTGTGAGACTCTGAGGGGGTCGCAACGTTTGTTCGTTCTATTTTAATAGCCTGTGCCTCATTATAATTACGTTTATAATAGGCCGGCGCGTAAATTGAATTTGACTTTAGATACGTCTACGTCAAAATATGCTCCGCTCCTTCTGCTTCTGGTACGTCCCGGCTAACCGTATCCGGCCGAACCACTTGTGCTATAGCGTTAAACGTTTTGCGCGTACGCGTCCCGTCCAAGTTATCCACGCCGACGATGACGCTAGCTATTTGTGTGCTTCAAATGGGCACCGACAGCACAATCCGATATCGAATACCGACCACGACAAGCGATTCTAAACGACTTCTGAGTGAATGCTATAAAGCACGAAAACGACGCCGACGACAACGGCGAAGGCGACTGCGACGACGACTGCGACGACGACGACGACGACGACGACAACAACGATGGCAACGACAACAACCAACAGCCAACGACCGATGACGACTGGAAACTGTTGCTGCTGCTGCTGCTGTGGCTGTGAACTGCGCCGTGCAACTATTTAACGACGACTGAATGTGGCAATTATGTATCTAGATACATTTTGGCCAAGCGCAGCGCCAGCGTCGCTGCTGCCGCCGCTGTCGGCGCGACGCGCTCTTCTGTCTGTCTGTCTGTGTGTTTGGCTATATGTGTGGGGATTTTATGTGGGGGTTGCTAAACGAGGCAACCATCATAAAGCATATTACTATAATTACAATTATGCTGTGCTCTCACACGCACACACACACATGCACACACACACACACACTTGCAGACAAATATGAACACGCTCTGTCAGATACATAGCGGGAGATACAAACAGTCGCGGCGCACGTGAACATAACGCACGGCTATAAAACACACAAATACACAAATTTTCATATGCATTACGGCTTAATTGTATCTGTAGCTATTGTTGTTGTTATTGCCGTTGCTATTGCTGTTGTTGTCAGTGTGTGAACTCATAAATTTATTGCTGGCCGCTGTGGATGTTGCTGCTATTGCCGTCAGCAACATGTTGCTGTTGCCATTGCTGTGAGCGCCTGGGCATTTGTATCTTATTGCCGCTCCTCACTGGCAGCGCAGTCTGTTGCGCTGGCAGCGACGTCTGCGCCGCTTGTTGGCCGATTATTAAATGCTGAATGTATTTTATTGCTTTGATTGTTGTTGCTGTTGCATTTGCTGTTGTTGCCGGCTGTGCATTGGGGCAGCTTCAGCGCTCCCGCCAGTATCTTTTTGCATTGCAAATTGCCGACGTCGCTGGCATCGTTGGCATCGCTCGCTGGCTTGCTGTGAGTTTGTTTTTAATTCTCTATAATTGAGTTATATGTACTTTAATAAGTTGGCGGCGGATGCTGCGTTCGGATTGGATTGGAGATGTTGCTGTTGATGCTGCTGTCGCAACGGGTGCTGCTTTGGGGCGTTCGCTCGCAGCAATTCACTTTGTTGTTGTCGCGTCGGCGTTGACGTCGACGTCGACAACGACGACGACGACGTTTAGCGCTAATTAATGCTGAGCCAACAGCTTTCGATTGCTTTTTATTGTTTGTGCCCGATGCCTGGTGCCTGCTGCCTTCTACTTGGCTGCTTTTGTCTTTCGTTTTCTTAATTGTTCACTCAGATTTATAATTTGATTAATTATATCGATGCCGATTCGATTCCATACTGCTCTCATGCTTGGAGACCCTTTCATAGATTTCCCATTTTTTCCAAATGATATGTATATATATATATTTTGTATAATTGCTTTGTTGTTGTTGCTGTTATTATTGGTTTAGCTGCTGCTGTTTTTGCTGCTGTTTGTGCAATAATTGGTGTATAATTTCATTTCCTGAGAATTCTGCGCCGGGTCGTGGGCCAACAAATGCTTTCATTGTATTTTAATGTCGTAATTCACAGCGCTTGGGCAAATTAGTCAGCTAAGCAGTTTGCTATAAGTATACACAATATTTATGTACTATAAGCGTACAAATATATGTACATATGCGCGGGCTCAATTAGCTATAAGGGCGCAAGTGTTCTGTGTGCTGCGTTTATTAATAGGCGTTATGCTATCGATAAGACCGATTAGTCATCATAAATTTAGCAAGCAACAAACGAGGACAAATTTGACTTTGACGTATTTCAAATACTCTTTTTTACATGAATAATCAATAATTAATAAACAAAAAATAATAAACACAAATAATTAGTATTTGGATAAATATCTATATAATTCTTCCGGTGTCTATGCCTAAGTGTTTAGAGTGAAAGTTAGTTAGCAAAACACTCGTAGGCGGCTACGTCAAAAAAGAAAGGACCAATGCCTCAGCAGGAGCAACAACTCGATTCTAATTATCACGGGTTTCCTATCGGGTCATTGAACAATTTGCATGCACCTG